TTTTTTTTTTTCAGTTTATTTATTTAGATTTTCTACTGATAATGATTTCCTGATCATGCTTTTACTTCTAACATTCTGAGTCACAAATCATTTATTTATTTATTCTTCTAATAAATATTTATTGAGAAATTGGGCAGTGCCAGGCACTGCTCTAGGCTCAAACGGATACAGCTATGAACATAACACCTAAGCCTCTGCCCTCGTGCAGGTTCCATGACAGATTGGGGAAGAGGAAATTAAATGAGTAAATGGCATTTTGTGTGTTTTCCCAGGGTGGCGTAGGAGAGAAAGGTGCAGAAGGCACAGCTGGAAACGATGGAGCGAGAGTAAGTGAAAATGGTGCTTTCCTAGCCCAGCTAGGAACCAATGTTTTCATCATCACCTGAATTTGCCTGAACTTTACATGATAAAGTTGATCATGTTTCCTCAGTAGTCAGGATTTGGAGAATGATGACTCTTGAGAGTTGATGTTGATTGATTAACTGTGAATATTCATTTTGCTTACCCTGAATTGGAGCAAGCCGAAAAGTAAAGTCATTGTTGAAAGAATGAAATAAAACATATTTATTGTGCCTATGAGATAGGTGCTTTAAAGGGTGGAGTCCTCTTTGTCTTTTATTTTATATGCAATGTTTATTTCTGTTAAAATTGTGATCTACTGATCTGGCCTAGACCTCATTTCAGCACAGGCAAGTAGAGCTTTGTAGAGTCGCCAAAGTTATGATAAGTGTTTCTCAATTTTCTGGATTTTAGGGGTGAGAAAATTATTGCACAGGGAATCATCATTGATGCTTTTATCAATAAAGAGACTAAAACAGTAGAATGCCAAAGGATGGTTGATCCCAAATCATTTTTTAATGTCATACTGGAAATTAACATTTAATAAGCTTTAAGTCTTCAAAATTAGAATGCATTTGTGATCCCAAAGACAATCAGACTAGAAGGACAATATATTTTCAGACATGAATGATTTCCTCATGTAAGAGTGGCTAGTCACAGGGGCTCAAACATCAGAAACAGCATTTCTGGAATAGTTTCTGATAATCAATGAATAATTTCTTTTTCTCTATGACATGGTTTGCTGTTAGTTGTTATGTTGTGCCCTGGCAAATAGCAGTTGTATGAAAAAGAGATCATGTTGAGCCACTGTTTGTTTCTGCACATTGAGCCATTGTTAATACATTGGTTATATTAGCTTTTGATTAAGAAAATGAAGTGAGGGCCGGCCCGTGGCTCACTCGGTAGAGTGCGGTGCTGATAACACCAAGGCCACGG